CAGTTTCCCTTATAGAAGGTCTTCATCCATTTTGGTCCCTTTCTTGCTTAAAGCCTGAAGTAGCCCCACAAGTTTTCATGAGCACGTATACATCTCTTAGCTTTTCATACTAAATCATTGATAAAGCAGCAGCTCTTCACACTAGCTTCGTTTTTCACTTCCTCCACCAGTTTTTTTTTTTCTTCTGATTCAGATGCAAAAAAACTGTGGAACATAGCACTTTTCTAGCTATTTCACTGTTTTAGGTCTTTTCACATGCCATTATTTCTGCTGGAGCTCTTTTTCAGTTTTCTCTCTTGGAAAAATCCCTCTTTTTCTTCAAAGGTAAGCTTAAAAGAGTCTTTCTGCCCTATCAGTTGGTTAGGACTCCTTTATTTTGTGTTCTGTAATAACTTGGGTTGTATTTTTGCCCAAACACACTTGCTACGCTTCAGTGTTAGCACTAATTTAACTTGTCTATCTCTCCTACTAGATTATACGTTCCTTAACGTCAGGAACCATCATTCTGGGTCTCACTACCTAACACAGATGATCAATAAATGGCTATTGCATGAAAAAATGAGTGAAGGAAGTAAGAGTAACTCCTTTCTAATTAGTTTTGGCGGTAACTCAGAGGCCCCCAAATGCCAACGTGCAACTTGTCTTCATCAAAATCTGGTGGAGGGATGGGGGGCTTTTGAAAAATTCAGATTTACAGGCCCATCACCAGATCTCCATATTATGAGGACCTGTATTTTTATAAAAATTCTCTATTTTTCTAAAAGATTGAAACCAACTGATGGGCAGTTGGTTCTCAAGATCAGTTATCTTAGTCTTGTTTTCTTTCAATGCAAATGTTTTTAGACAGGTACTACTGAAGCTGTGGTTTCACTGCCCCACCCAAAATCACATGAGGGAAGAAAATAAGAATACTCTTTCCTATTTACCTTTTTGTCTGCACCACCTTCTTAGCAGAGCCAGGAGCGTCCCACACACCACTAAACCTGTTGCAGAAGCCACTGCTCCACCAAAATAAGTCAGGGCTTCCTTGACAGTCAGTGGCCCCGCTGTAAAGCAAACACACACACG